AAATTTGGATTTAGGTTCCTCTTACCCTCTACTTCAAGGGTTGCTTTTACTTGGGGGGTGAATGCCACCCCTTCTTGGGGGGGGAAAAAGATACGTTCAAAATAAGTCCGGAAATTGATAAATTGAGTAATTCTAAGCAACTTTTGTTCTATAGAGTTTTTTCACTAAGTCAATAGTATTCGAGTTAATTTGCGAGTGAAAATGTTCATTTTTCAACAAAAAAAACTACGTTTTCAGACGGTTTTTCGCAAATAACTCTAAAAGTAAGTATTGTATCGAAAAAAGTATTCTTAGCAAGAATATAGCTTATAAACAGACAAACAAAATGGTCTATATATGAAGTCTGTAGACCCAGTAGAAGCAAAGTTGTAGCTCATGAAAAGTAGGTTCTCATTCGTCAAACTCCAAATCGAGTACTTCAACGTGAAATAACTGAAAAATGAAGCACTTTTTGGGAAAAACGTATGAATACTTTTTTAAAGTATTTGAAAAAACCTTTCTTTTTGTTTTAGAAAAGTTAAGAAAAGTTCCTAGTATCAAAACTAAGTGAGTTACGATCAAAATAAAGTTGGTCCTTTTTTTTGGTAAAAAAAATCGATGAAATCACCCTCTAAGTAGCACCCCAATTGAAATTAAGCGTTACCGCTTTACAGTTTACTTTATTTATGTATTGTTTATATGATCTGTAAGTTTGACCGGTGCAAAGTGCTTATTTTTGAAAAAATGTAGTTTTGAAGTAAAAAAAAATTTTGAAATTTTAAAAAATTGCCTTTTTTTCAAAGTAACTTCAAAAGTATTAGTGCTACGAAAAATTTACAAGAATAAAAAAATGTAGCTTTTGCTTTTCTGAACGTTTTGCTTTTTTTTTGTAAAACCAAAATTGGTTAAGATATGGCTGTTCAAAGTTTGCATACACTCGTCATTAGTGACTCATTCGAACCCTTTCAACTACAACCTTTTCAAAAATAAGGGTTTAAAAAAAATTAATTTGAATAATCTTATACAAAATGGTTTTTAATTTAATTTTTTATTAAATACATGTAAGTTATAATGTAAAATAGGTGTTAAATAAGTATCAATTGTAAAAAAAAAATAAAATTCTATGAAGTTGTTGCAAAAAAAAAATGGTTTTTTAAAGCACTTCGTAGGTTAAAAATTAACCGATTTATGAGGCACAGACATACTTTCACCCATCCTTACAAACTATATACAGGGTGGTGACTTGCGTAACGCATCATAGGGATTTCAATGTAAAATTTGTAACATGCGATTATTGGCTCCCCAAATTATTTTAGAGCAAAAATGTATTAAGGTTTTTTGTAGAAAAAAATTTTTTACGTCAATCAACCGTATTGGTTTTCAATTTTTTGCATAATAAAGACGGAAAATTGGAAAAATAAAACTCCCATCTTTTTCAATAATCTGTGATGCCATGGAATTTTATAATACAAAAACGACGCCATTATCCTTCATGCCATGGAATTTCTGCTATAAAACAAATCAAATTCTATGAAAAAGTTATTATATTTAGAACAGCGAATTCAACATAAAGAAAGACCAAACTACTAAAAACGGTTTCCTAATATAACAATTTACAATAAATGTTCGAATAAGTCACCATTAACTGCAATACAGTAACCAAGTCGATCATAAAAGCCATTTCGAACTGCTGCTAATTGTTAACTGGATATCTTTTTGTTTTAGAAAATTCCATGGCATCGCAGATTATTGAAAAAGATGGGGGTTTTATTTTTCCAATTTTCCATCTTTATTATGCAAAAAATGGAAAACTAATACGGTTGATTGATGTAACAAATTTTATTCTACAAAAAACCTGAATACATTTTTGCTCTAAAATATTTTGGGGAGCCAATAATCGCATGTTGCATATCGCATATTGCAAGTCGCATGTGGTGTATTGTAACCTCACAAGTTAACAATACACCACACTATCACATTTCTCAACATTATCCGAGACATAATCATTAGAAAATCAACACAACCACGATCATTCGACTTATTAGATGTTTAATTGTATTTCAAATTTCAAATAATTTTGACGCCAAGGTCCGAAGATGCTACATTAATAGATAGCGAAATCGATAACCTAAAGGAAAATATATTTTAATTACTTACCTAATACCTATTAATTAAATAATTGCATGGTTTATTAATTTTGTCAGTCGACATATATTTAACGTCAAAGATTGAGTTTTTTTAAATATTGGTGAACAGATTCAGGGCACCAAATTTAGTAAGTGTTTTAAATTTTAATAGTACAAGTTGTATTCTGATCTTATTTTGACATATTATAGAGAATAAATCTTCCCTTACTTTGATATTGTGACTATTAGTCTGGGGGATTCAAATCTAAACAGTGCCACCTGAACCAACCAGTAATCAATACGACGACTGGTCGCGACTACGACCAACAACACATGCTATTTCAATAGGAATATTCCCTGGAATATTCACATTTGACGGTCAGGTCACGGTCAGAACATGCTCATAAGAAATACAAGCTACAATAATTGACCGGACTGAGATCTGACGGTGACGTGACCGATACTGTGAATTGGCCTGAATAACAAAATTTCCTCAAAGATTTCTCTCTCGAGTTGCTGTCTGATAGTACTGTCGAGGTGTAAATACCACCGTACGTGAACGCACCCATTGATTGAATTCTGAAAAATCAAAGCATGTGATTGGCATGCATGAACACCTTATGGTCTCACTTGCATCCGCATTTCCCTAGGATTGTGAGCTCCTTTCATATTTACACCTATTTGGTCCAGTTTGGTTCCCAGCCCACTTTGCCTCCATCCCCAAGTTGACGGATGTGGAGGGCATTCAGTAGGATAAAAGCAGTGCCCCCACAACACATGACCTGCTTGATTGGGGACAGGAACTGCAGTAATTTATTTTTGGTACAAAATAAATATTTTCCCACATTAGTAGTGGATTTCTCCTGTGCTTCGGGGTCATAGAGAACGGTAGTAAATTCTTCCAAAGTTTTAATTGTTTTTTTCTGTTATTCCGCTTTGTGAATTGGAGAGTTCAAGTAAAGCTGGTGTCACGTCCGGGCGTTTCATCCAAGTCATAAACGCCTTCTTGTTTCCAATAGAATTGAAGCAGGGCGTTGTGGCATAACCTGTGTAACAATGAAAGCCCCGTAGGGCTTGTGAATTTTCTTCTCCAAGTGCTAATACATTAAAATGGGTCGCTAGATATCGACGCTTGGCCCCAACACCTGTCAGATATCCTTCTTTCAGGTCGAGTTCTTTCAGAAAAAACAAAACAAAATATATATGACCATCAGAACGTCAGTATCTCAAGACTGGACGAGGATGTTCTGGGCTCCATGCTCCACCATATCTTTCGCATGGAGGATGATTCGCCCGTCCGCCTCTTCTTGCGTAACTTGTATCCCATCAAAAGGGAAAGCGTTCTCAATTGTAGGAAAATGCGGCTGCAAGTCAACTTGTGAGACGATGAGGTGTTCATGCTTACGAAACAGCCTTCCCTGCACCCTACAGAGTTCTAACTGCCAAGAACACGGCAAAAATCTCAGCCGAGTATATTGTACATGCTTATTATAAACATGACTGTGAGCGTTTTATTTTTAATGATTATAACTAAATATTATTTATAGCTTGACTGCAACAGGAAATCTATGATCAGGCATTTCCCTTTGATGACTGATGAGTTTTTACTTGTAAATACGTTTCAATAATCAACAATTTTTAGTTAAAAACAGGATTCAATGAAGAAGTTTCAGTTTTGCACTTAGTCAACCTCGATCTGTTTATTCAAAATACATAAAAATTCATAAAAAAAAGGCCTTTAATGGGTCTTTTTTGGTAATCTTCGCCCAAAAGAATCTCAGAAACGCCACCTCAACTACGAAAATCGGTCAAAACCTCTGAATCTTGTCAGACGTTAAAGATATCATACAATTGGCCTACATATGATAAATGAAACATGCTTCCCACTAAGAAATTAGCTTTGGATATCATTTTTGTGATATTCACCGTCGGAAACCTCGTAAACGTCACCTCAAACGTAAAAATCGCTCTAAAAACATATACAGGGTGTCCCTAAAAGGTCTGTACAACGCGCTACCAGGTGTTCTTGGTATTAAAATAGGACGATTTAACCCAACTTACCTCTATCCAAAAGTGCTTCGGTAAGGCGCTATCTACCGCCAAAGATTCAAAAAACAAATTGTTATTTTTATTTTATCGGAAAATGGTTTTGCCGATTAAAATGAAAGTCGGGATGTGAATGTCTAATGTAAAAAGGGTCTTTGTGATATCATCGTTTTGATTGTAGTTGCTATGTAGGTGGTAAAATACTGATCATCCACATCTGAAGAGGTCTAAAACTTTTTAACTACTATTTTGACGGCTCTGAATTTTTAGACACTGATAGACAGTTTACTTGCAAAATTCACATCCCGACTTTCATTTTAATCGGCAAAACCGTTTTCCGATAAAATAAAAATAACGATTTGTTTTTTGAATCTTTGGCGGTAGATAGCGCCTTAACGAAGCACTTTTGGATAGAGGTAAGTAGGGTTAAATCGTCCTATTTTGATACCAAGAACCCCTGGTAGCGCGTTGTACAGACCTTTTAGGGACACCCTGTATTTCCTGAAATTGTCAAAATTGGCGCCATTTTCAATCCTAAGGGACGGAACTTCCGGCTCTGCGTCTCAAATCACTCCAATAGGTCTAGGGAACATGTGTTCCAAGTGGCACAATTTTAATACGAAATGCCGAATAATACCAATATTTATCACGAGCCGCTCCTACTATAATGAGAGTGATTTCTTAGTAAGAAATCATGATGTAAAAAATTTATTTAATTTAATATGCAGCAAGTAGTAGCTGTAGAGAAAATCAATTAGTAATACTTTTCTTGACCTTCTGTTTCAGTTTGGTTGTTTATGGGCTGCGCTGCATGTCATATGTTACTTGTCATTATGATTGCCATAATCTAAACAGATACCAAATCATAAGTATAAATGCGTTATCACTTCATGGCAAATTTGCATTTATTGAAAATGTTTAGTGCACTAATACTCTCCTTTGCAGCATGTGGTGAGATTTAGTGAAGGGATTTTGTGTAACATAATTTCTTTCTCTTTCAGGAACACACTTAACGAAAATGATATTCCAAAAATACGTTTAAGAAGAACAACAAATGGTTTTATACAAAATGTGGCAAGGCTTCCAACTGTTGAGGAAATTGTTGAAGAGAGTCGAAATGCAATTTTCCCAGATGACGTAGAGATGACTGAAAATGGCTTGGAAAGCATTTTAGATCAGTTACGAGAAGAACAAAATGCAGATGAGCCACACGCATTACCAGAAGAGGAACAACTAGATAATAAATTGGTTCATCCGCTGATGGAAATATTTCCAGACGCATGTCCACAATTCATACGGAAGATTTGTAAAGGAAAGCGCCACTCGCCTGCTGTAATGGACAATTTAATTGCCAAAATCCTGGATACGGATATGGATTATCCAAAACGGCAAAAAGTTGAAAGCCCACCGTGCCGTTTGAATGCTTCCGAACAGCTGGAGCTAATGAAGAGCATACTTGTGGACGCTGATCCGGATTATTTACAAATGCATTGCGATCGTCTAATAGATAATCCAGACGAACTTAAAGCATTTGTGTCTGAAGCACTCGAAACACGAAACTATCCTACGTTGAAAGAATATTTGAGGTACATGTGTATCTTTTCCAGGGTAATTGTTTAATTTATTTGTTTGTAGGAAGAAACAAATATCCGCCCAACAAAACCAGTACACAAATAAATTTAGTGTCGCCAAATTTCTAGAGGTAATACCCGATCCTTTTCAGTATTTTGCTGATTCAAAGCGTAAAGTGAATGGATTAGATAATCATAGTCACCATTATGCTATGTGTTACCTACGAAACAAATTTGCATTAGTAAGTGTGCGATCAATCCGCGAATCCTTTATTAAAAATGAAGAAAGGTTTTTGGCAACTTGCAAAGAACTAGAAAGTTACCCTTCTTTCAAAAGATTGAAATCAAAGCGACCAAAGGTGGTGATGCCTTCTGTAATTCAAAACATACCTCTTCTTCAAGAAATTGCCTTCTATGACCATCAAGAGGAAATAACGGAATTTTTAAATAAACGAAAAATAGAAGAAGAGATGGAACGTAAGCAGGCCAAAGCCGCGGGATTATTGCAAACGTGTGCTTGTTGCTACGACGATGAAATCATGTTCAAAGATATCACTTCTTGCGAAGCTGGCTGTATATTTTGTAAAGATTGTGTACGGAAAGGTGCGGAGGTTGCGTTTGGAGATGGTAAATTGGATTTTCCCTGTCTTGGCGATTGTGAGTCCCATTTTAGTTTACAAGTTTTACAGGTATAAACATAAAAACCTGAATAGATTTCCTATTAACCATTTTTTTTTGTAGGCTGTGCTTACCCCAAAAATGTTTTCTGTCGTCGCTTTAAAGAAACAAGTCGAAGAAGTAAAAGCGGCTGGAATTGACGATTTGGAAACATGTCCTTTCTGTGATTTTGTCACTATACCTGCTCGTGATGATAAATTGTTTAGGTGCCTAAATCCTGAGTGTATGAAAGAGTCATGTCGAATGTGTAAGGAACCTTCGCATGTGCCTTTACGTTGCGATGAAGTTGAGAAGGATGCAGACGTTAAAGCTCGGACATACATTGAAAATAAGATGACTGAAGCACTACTTAGGTATGTTTGTTTACCCAAAATCGTCCTGTAACCTTCATTTTCATGCCTACTTTCTGTCAGGAAATTGTAATCTCCATGAAAGAGGCAGAGCAGACTATCGGCCGGTTGCAGGAAACCGAATTATAATCAAAATCCTAGATTATTTGCCAAATCTGAGATTAAACAAGAATTTTGACATTTGATTGGCTGCATACTGCAGTATAAAGCCAATCAAATGTCTTAATACCGGATTAAACAATAATCCTGGATTATGTTTTTTGTGCAACTGGCCGTAAGTTTCCTGCCGCTTGTCACTTTACCTGCCGCACCTGTCACATTGTTATAATGACTCCTGCCATCATTGACAGATTGACATTAATCAAAAGTTTTATATAAGAATTGAAATTTTACATTAAAATACGATTTTGGCTAAAATTTAATACAAAACTCGTCAGTAAAATGACATCCTGACTCGAAAATTAAAGTACTCGGCCCCTCAATATTTCATTAATGTGTCATTTTCCTGATTTTATGTAAATAACACTATTTCCATTTTGTTGTCCATTGTAGACAAAAAATGGCAATGTGGGACCTACCATATTATTACTTTTCCATATCCATATGCGGATATGGGTAGTAGGTATTACATTTATCATAACGAAAAAGTCACTTGTTATAGTTGTTGTTTTAGTACAGTAACTCATAATTTAATGTGATTATTATGTAAAATTTTGCAGGCTTATTACCTGCTTAGAGCTTAGAGACCTATTAATTACGTTGAATCCTTTCTCTGCTACTTTGTTATTTATGAACCGATTAATTACATTAAACATGTCAAAAGCTGCGTGCGCGTATGCGTAGTAGTAAATTTCTTATTTGTGAATCGATCTTACTGAGATTTTAAATCAACAAATTTTTCACTCTTTATTCTATTTTCGAATTCTTCATTTAATTCTACGTACAGTGGCTCCCCAGAAAGGGTGACCTAAGCTATCCTCATATGTATATCTAGGAATTCCAAGGTCTCCTAGATTGAAAAATAAAGGTTCTGGAAATTTTTTTGTAAAAAAAACAGATATCGCGTATTTGTCAATTTTCATTTATAATTTTTAAACGGTAATTTGTAGGTATGTACTTATAATGGGAAAAATTTAGCATAAGTTCTCTATTGGAGGCGGCCGATCGGAAGGCAATCGGATTGGAACTAACCCCTTGACGAGGGGTTGTTTCGATATACGATTATGGCGTAGTTTTTTGCGTATGGAAGAGAAGTTATTCGACCTATGTTGTCGGTACTTCCGGAATATGTAGTCGTTGGGGATATGCACATTTTCGATCCGGCTTGACATCCCCGGGAGCTAGTGGTAGGATGCGAAGTGTACTCTGGAGGTCGTTTTTTGGTAAAATTGCGAGTTTAAAAATTCGTTGAGGGCGAAGGAGGGGAGATATGAAAAAATTTTGGAGAGGTGGATATGGTAAAAAGGTCGAGGGGCATAGGGGTCTTTCGAAAGCGCAGGGTATCGAGTATGTAACCTCCCCCGCCTGCCCCGCAGCATGGCGGCAAAATTAGAATCTAATAAATGAAAAAAATAAATCATTTTAAATTAGTTCTTGCAAAAGTGCAGTAAAATGAACAGTCCGAGGCGAAGCCGAGCTGTAGACCTCTACAAATCAAAGCGAGGCGAGGCGGCAAAGCCGAGCGTATGTCTCATCAAAACCAAGAAGTGTTATCAAAATTAAAAAATCTTATGTGCAGATCTGGATTCAACAAGTTGAATAGACATTTGAAAAAAAGGCACTTTATAGGAGATGTTCCCAAAAACAAAAATATTCCTCACAAATTCAAAAAAATTATAAATTCAGTCTCCTCAATATCATTTTCTTACCGCTCCAAAACTGAAACTGAGAAATTGTTTTTGTTGAACAGTGCGAGGCGAAGCCAAGCTATGGACCGCTAAAAATCAGAGCGAGGCGAGGCGACGAGCCGAGCGTGTGTCTAATCAAAACCAAAAGTGTTATCAACATTAAAAAATCTTGTGCAGACCTGGATTCAACAAGTTGAATAGAAATTTTCAAAAAAAAGTCACTTTGTATAGGTGATTTTTCCAAAAAAAACAAAAATATTGCTCACAAATTCAAAAAAATTGTCAATTCAGTCTTCTCAATATCATTTTAATATCGCTACAACACAGAAACTGAAAAATTGTCTTTGTTCAAACCTCATAGTGCGTGTTAACATCTTACAAAAAGAAAATATAAATCATTTTAGACTATTTCTTGCAGAAGTACGGTAAAATGAACAGTGCGCGGTGAAGCCGAGCTATGGATCGTTACGAATCCAAGCGAGGCGAGGCGGGAAACCCGCCGGAGCCGACGTATGATCAAAACTAATCTAAGTTAAAGAATCTTATGTACAATTATGTGCAGATCTGGATTTAACAAGTTGAATCGAAATTTAAAAAAAAATGACTTTGTATAGGTGATGTTTCCAAAAAACAAAAACATTCTTCACAAATTCAAAAAAATTGTCAATGGTCGCGCCAAAAGTCGTATAGCGCATGCGCAATGATAAAGGGTAATTTGATCGAAATCTTTATGGTAGGTTCATCTAAAAAATTGTGTAAAAAATCGCATTGCGCCGAACATAGATTACACCTCCAATTATATCCCATTTTCGGCGATATACTCACTCTAGCGCAGTCTTGAAATGCGAAGCATTTTTACCAACCCATGTAATGAGATTGACTACTGAGTATTGACATATCGATGCTTTTTTGAACCGAATCAAATTTCTTTTCCCTTTTTAGAAAATTGTAACGTCAGCCAACCTTAACTATATTCTCACAAGCATTAAGCAAAAAAAACAAAAAAAAATATATATAAAAAATTTTTTTAAACATTGACAAATGGTAAACCACATAAATAAACAAAAAAATAAAAAAAATTTAAAAAAAGTTAAAAATTTTTTTAATTTACAAACGGTAAACCACATAAAACGGCGTTTGCTAATTAAACGGCGCCGATAGGTCCGTAAGGACCTATCACTAGTTTAACATATAAATAATGTAAAACAGTTTATTTCATACTGCTCTTTTTTCTATTAAAATGCCATATAATTTTTTATTAGAATGTAATGAAAGCAAAAGTCGTGAGGTTAATGCTTGTTTATTACTGTGAGTGCACATCATGGCGGCCCCCATGTAGGTGTCATTTGTTAATTCAGCATTAGCAGTCCATCTTAATTTATAAGTGCTTCGGATCAATCTGCTATGTTGGGATTTGCAGTAGTGTGTGAAGATGATTTTAATATGGCCACTGGTTCAAAACGCGAACGTTTAGTAATAACCAAGTATTTTACTACTTATTTCAAGCTTAAATGAAAATAACCTTCCCTCAAGGGATCAATTAGTAAGCCAATCTCTCTCATTACAGACTTCTTTCATTACAGACATCTTTAGAACCGAAGGTCACATTAGGTTCAATTGAGAGTCGAGATTTTAATGGAAGGTCCACGCGGGTGGCGGGACTTGTTTTTGGATAAAGACATACATCATTTGAATATGAGAATACTAGAACTACTTCAATTCAAGATGTCTACATACAAAATTTCATTTAAATATCTTGAGAAATAAACAAAATCGGATTGCGCATGCCCAAAACAAATTTTTTGATTTGGCATTGCTTACTTTTACTTTTATTCGAGGTGCCTACATACAAAATTTCATGCAATTCAGTTCATAACTAACGGAGATGTCAAGAAGGCTTTCCTTATTTTTTTTGCCTAAACGCTAAAATATTGGGTCCCAAATGATATGAAACCAAAAAGAAAATATAGACGCAGTCTATTTTCTATCTAAGAGGGAAAACTGTATTATTTTGTCCTTCTTCCCGTATGTAACTGAGTTTTACATTAAAATTGCCAACAGGGATTCCAACTATGATTTTCAATAAAACTAGGCTACACATTTTTCCATCTCCATTGTCTTGATTTTACTGTGTGTTGAAACTGTTTGACGTAAGATAATGTGCAGCAAAATATCTGAAACAATTCTTCTTATTTCTGAAATGAACTAATTTTTGTCGGCCAGTTGCACAAAAAAAATAGTCCAGGATTATTGTTTAATCCTGTATTAAGTCATTTGATTGACTTTATATTGCAGTAGGTAGCCAATCAAATGTCAAAATTCTTGTTTAAACTCAGATTTGGCAAATAATGTAGGATTTTGATTATAATTTGCTTTCCTGCAACCGTCCGTGTGTATGATGAAATATGTTTTCAGAACCTGCTACAAATGCGGTATGAAGTTCATAAAATCAGACGGTTGTAATAAGATGACATGTTCGTGTGGAGCTCTTATGTGCTATGTTTGTAATCAACCTGTCAAAGATTATAACCATTTTAACGGACCCGGTGGTGATAAAACAAATCTGTAAGTACATATACAAACATTTATTTTCCTTATAGTTCTCTTGTAGCTGTCCGCTATATAGCGATACCAATCAGCTGCATAAGGATGCAATATTAAAAAGTGCAGAAGAAGCTAAGAACGATATAGGAATTAGCGTAGCCAAAAAGTTAAAAATTGATCCCACCGCTGATATTCAACACCACTATAAGACGAACACAAAACCCGTTATTCCAGCAGCTCCTGTTAATCCCTTTTTAGGATTGAATCGTGAAGATCTGCTTTTACAGGTAATGCTTATTGTGATGTATTTGATTATTATTAAATTTGGCTTTAGGAGAGAGCATTGCAAATGTTTGAACATTACAATAGACGCCTGCATCATCGACGTGGCCATCACTAGTTTTTAGATTATGTTTTGAAGTTAATAGTGTGCATATATATGTATTTTTGTACTGAATTTTATAA